CCCTCCGCAAACACGGCCGTGCCCAGCGCAGCCAGCAAGGGGCAGTGGCCCCGCTGACCCCCTTGTCTTTCCGCAGGGGACATGCACGACTTCTTTGTCGGCCTCATGGGGAAAAGGACCCTGGAGCTGGGTAAGTGCGGCCCATGTGAAGCCAGCTTGCGGGGGGAGGATGTGAGGGGCCCACACCCCTGCCCCCTTAGGGGAGAGGCCTTGATGCACCCCACGGAGATGCTACAATTACCGAGCCGGCTGAGCTACCCCGGCAGCTCCGGTCGGCCTCCCCTCCCTCCCTGGTCACAGCAGGGGGGATTCTGTAGGGGCTGAGAAATGGGGCCGGGGGGCAGATGGGGTGTGTGTCTGTCGTGAGCGCCCACGGCTGGGCTCACGGATCGGGGGAGGCACCGACTGCGTCTCCTTTAACCCTAGACGACCCTGCGGACGGGGCCCAGGGGACCGCTGGCAAAACTCCCCCAACGCAGAATGAGGTATGGGCAGCGGGGCGCCGGCTCCATTGGTGCCTCGTCCCGCGTGACGCACGCGTGCTCCTGCGGCTTGCACGTGTGCCGCTGGCGTGTGCCGGCCTTTCCCCGGGGCCCGGCGACATTCCGGAACGCGGCACCTTTCCGGCTCGCTGCCCCTGGGGAGGAGAGGCTGGACTCGGGCCGCGTCGGCGAATCCTTCTCCCTTTCGGGTCAGATTATGTAGCGCGGCTGGGCTGCTTCGGGGCTACCTAGGGTGAGATCCTCGCAGGGCCGAAGCCAAATTCCCTCCAGTGAGCTTTGCCAGGTTCGCCCCCCTGAGGGTCGGATGGCAAGTGTCAAAGCTCACCTCCCCCACGGATAACAAAGGGCTGCTGGACCCAGCAGATGCTGGAGCTAGCCCGGAGCCTCAGGGACCAAATCCAGGGAAGCCGGGGGCCGCATCCGGCCCCCGGGCTTTTGGTTCCCCACCCCTGGATTAGATGACCACAACAGTGCCTTCTAGCCTGGCATTTAATGCATTTAAATCCCTGGGTCCACCAGTCCGGGATGGCTGAGAACTTTGCCGGGGGGAAGAGCCGACGCTGTCCCCTCTACTGACCTGCTCTAGGCTCCTTCTCCAGGTGGCTTTTGTCTCTGCGCCTTTTCCCGCTGTCCCCCAGGGCAGATAGAAGTCCTATCAGCCCTGCACATCCCAACCCCCTCCTGCTAAGTCCTGGGGGACGTCTCAGTGGCCCCCAATTTGCGATTTGGGGCAGCTCAATGCAGCCCTAAACGCCTCCTCTGAAGATGCCGGGTTATCCCGTGGGTGGGGAACGGGGTCTGATTCCACGTCCCATCCCCATTCGCCACGCCGGGCGTTGGTGGCTCCAGTCTCATTTTTCGCACGCGGGAGCCATTACGACGACCGCTGAGGAGACTCACCAGGCCACAGCCGCCCGAGGGGCTGCGCTTCGCCTCGCGCATTAGCTCTTAAATCCCTGTTTGAGGATCTTCACTTACCGCCCCAAATGATGGTCCGGAGTTCGCTGTCGCCCGCTTGCAAGGAGCAGGGCCCTGACCCGAGCGTGCGTAAGCGCGCGGCGGGCTGGGTTACGGGCCATAAATAGCTGTAATCCCCCTAACTGGGTGATTACACGGCACTTACTCGGCTATTACGAATTCGTTAGCGGGTGATTTGCATCCCGGCGCTGGCAGGATAATGAGCGGCGGAAGGCTGGTGGTTTTCTCTCCGCGCCGCCTCGGAGATAATTGCGGTGCAATTTTAGGAAATGGAGGAAAAGAGCAAATTGGTGAACGACACTTTCCCGTGTCTGCCGATGAAGCCTTCCCCACCAGCCCTGTGCGGGGTCGTGCCTGCGGGCTCGGGCCTGCAGGGGATTGTCTGCATCTGTAGAATTGGCGTGTGATTGCTCAGTGTTGAAAGGCCGGCTGTATAGAACAGGCTCACCGCGGCTGGGAAAGGAGCAGTAAAGCCGGTTTCCCTTGGCGCAGTCTTCCCAGAGAAGGGAAACCAGCTCTCCCAAGCCTTTTTCCCCCCGCCGGGGGGAAGGATCCAACGTGCTGCGGGTTTCCTCCTCCTTTCACGCAGGTGCC